ATGAGTAATATCTTAAGGTTTTGATCCCAGAAGAAGCCTAGTTCTTTGTACTTTCTGTTCCTTTTTTTCTGGACTCATTTTCACCTCCTCCCATTGCTGCTTTTTTCTCATCATCAGATCTCAGCTGAAATGTTACTTCGGGAAAGTCCTTCTCTTTCTATTCTTCACTTTGCATCATATTAGATTTACTTCATGATATTTAATGCCATCTATATTATCTAACCACTTTTTTTATATACATTTGGTTTTTTGTTTAGTGTCTTATCTTTCCCTACCAAAAAGTAAGATCCATGAAAATGAGACTCTTGTCTGGCTTTTTCATCATTATATACCCAATTTCTAGAACATAATGTTCCTGATGTATAGTAGGAATTCAATAGAGTTGTCAAATAGGTGGATGAATGTCATTATATTCTCAAGCCTTCTGTCAGTTTTTGTCCTCTTCCACTCTTAGAAGGATTTTATGAGACCAAATTCATCAGCCAAAATTGTATTAGATTATGTATAGAATTTATTCCGTGTCATTTTTATTAGCATATTTATGTTTAGGATGTTCTCTATTCCCGTCTTATCTCTCTTCCCTTCCTGTTTATAGTGTCAGTTGCTAAACAAATTGGTCATCTGCTAACTCTCTCCCTATAGTTTCTATGTCATTCATTTTCTCACAACATTCTGTACATACTCACAGTATTATCTAAACTTTATCTACATAAATCCTATCTTTCCTTCATAATCTAGTACAGACTCCCTTTTCCTAAGCTCACCCTAACAGTAATCTTTCCATATTCCTCAGTCCTATAATATTTATTATTTATAGAAGTTATTCAATAGAAATATTTTACCATCTTATGTTGCTAATATATTTGCTAATTATTTTTAATGTGCAGATATCTTAGCTCCCTAATTTGAATATGACCTCTCTCTTTCTTCTACAATGTTTTGTTCTGAGTTTTGTACATAATAGTGTATAATATGTATATAAACATAATTCATTTTTACTAGTGAATTGATGGGTTGTTTGATCCAATATACCCCTCTCCCATGTAAAATATCAGTGGCCATATTTGAAATGAAGACTTAAATAGCCAGATTGAATGGACAAGCTTGTAGGTAGGTAACTATCATCAATATATTAATTTCCTCAAGCCTGAAATCTGAAAAATCAACTTTCACTTCCTAAAATTCTCTTTGAAGTAAATGTTGAAGGTCATTCTAAATGTTTGTGAAATTGTTGTGGTGGCCATCTTGTACTTCTTCTATTTTTAGAGAAACATTTTTTGAATGTCACGTATATTCTGTTTCCAATTTACATAACATTTGGATCTATAAGTGTTTCTTAATCCAAGGAATTCGGTGTATTTAGGTTCTTTTTGGGTTGAGAAGCCAACCCACTGCTTCCAGAAAAATTTGAAAAGCATCTTAAACTTCCTTAGCTTTTTTTTTTTTTGCTTGAAAAACAACATGACTCTATTTTTTTTAGTTCACTTTCAGGTTTTTTTTCATTTTTTTCATTTTTTTTAAAATTTACATCCAAGTTAGTTAACATATAGTATAATAATGATTTCAGGAATAGAATCCAGTGATTCATCATGTACTTATAAGGCCCAGTGTTCATCCCAACAAGTGTTCTCCTTATTGCCCCTTGCCCAATTATCCCATCCCCCCACTCAAAACCCCTCCAGCAACCCTAAGTTTGTTCTCTATCTTTAAGCATCTCTTATGATTTGTCTCCCTCCCTGTTTTTATATTATTTTTGCTTCCATACCCTTATGTTCATCTGTTTCATATCTTAAATTCCACATATGGGTGAAGTAATATGACATTTGTCTTTCTCTGACTGAATAATTTCACTTAGCATGATACACTCTAGTTCCATTGCAACTGGCAAGATTTCATTCTTTTCCATCGCCAAGTAATATTCCATTGTATATATATACCACATCATCTTTATTCATTCATCAGTCAGTGGACATTTGGGCTCTTTCCAT